ACAATTCTTTGCAAGCAATGGCAGTCTCTAACCACCTTTCTCCTTGTGATGGCTGCTCTGCCATACATGGTGAAATACAGGAGGGGAAAAGCATTTATTTAGCAACAAAATAAAAGTTTTAATGAAATGTCATCTTTCTTCTTTTCACCTTCCTCCCTGTTCTGCCAGATCCATAATTTGCCTGTCTATACATTAGCAAGGATATTAAAGATTTAACTAGTTAGTAGCTATGACAACCATTACAGCATGCAAGTGTGCGGGGCAGACTCTCTGGATTACAGCATTCTGTACAGAGTCCAGAAATCTTAGTACTGAAGTTGAAGCAAAACCTAAACTCTATCCACGCTCCACTGAAGGCAAAGTACCTGGGACACTGTTCCGAAAGCATTTTTTGCTGTTCTTTTAATACTCTGAAGAGTTTGGCACTTCTGTCTTGCTTCCAGACTTTCCCAAGTTGGGGTCTTGGGAAAATTCAGCTCTACTGGCTTTAAGGGTACTCGTTTCCTTAGAGACATGCGGATGGTATTGAGAGAACTCAAAGCAGCCCTTCTCTTGAATTTGTCAGGTACAGGGCTCTCATTCTCATCGAAGTCAGCTAGGAGCTGGTGTTTCCGCCAGGGCATTGTTGCCTTGACGTTCTGGAGCACAGATGCCATCTTGTTCCAGTTCTTAGTCAACCTTCTTTCTAAAACAATCAGAAAGAGAGCAAGAATTAGACAGAGCAAGGTACAGAGCAGTGTGAAAAAGGAGAAATGGTTATACAATATATTCAGTTACACTTGCCTGAAACAACAAAATCAGAGCCGAGCAGGCTTTTACTTGGAGGCTTGAAGGAGAATAGCATTGATTTCTACAGCTATTTAGGATTGCACATGTCCACGAAGAAGCCTTATGCTGCATTGCCAGCAGTGGACACCAGACCCGGTAAGCTGCGAGACTCAGGCTTGGGAGGTAGAATGCTCTGTAACTGCAAGTTTCTTGTCCGTGTCTCAGACTAAGGTCTCGTATCCCAAATTTTTGCCTTCATTAATCACAACAGTGTTCTATTGCCAGACAAGGTCACACAGCGGCTGCCGTCTCCTGCCTGAGTTGCTAGCTGAAGGCTCACACTTCGGTCACAGTTATGACTGTGGACACCTCAGTCCCAAAACAGACAGGATTGTTACTGGCAGAGGATGCTGGTGGGAAGGGCTAAAATGCCTGTTCTCTATATGATATATGATAATTTAAACATACGTATAGAGTTTAAATTCTTCATTTTCACTAGCTATCAAGCTAGGATACTGCTAGCAAGTTACTTCTAAAAAGCAATTGAAATGCAAATGTATTTTAGCAATCTGAAATTGAGAGCAAATTAATTTTACCAATACTTCGTTGCAGACTACTGTTAATTTAAAAAGCTGCGAGGTCTCTACCATCATTATACCACATATTAGGAAAGCCTATTGATATTCCTTGCTACCTCTGATCTCCCAGGTTGCATCTGCCTCTCACAAGTTCCTTATTTGTGTCAGAAAGCAACAAGGCTTACTGAAATCTTTTAATCCTGGAGGTGTTTGGGACATTAACACCTTTAATGCGTTCCTGCATGCGGCAACAAGGAAAGGCCAGTAAGCAGGCAACCAGTCAGTTCTCTTACTAGCCCGCAGCTTATCCAGCTTGCTTTTGATAAACCGCTAACTACCGTTGATTAATTTACACCAGAAAATACTGCTCGGGGGAAAGGCGCGGCAGGGAGCAGCTGCCGCCCCCGGGTTACGTTTATCCGTGACCAGACGGGCATTGCGCAACACAACGCGGTGCTCCCGTTCGCCCGGAACCCACGGCAAGACGCCGGGCAGCCTCCCCACCGGGCACCGTCCCCCCCCCGCGGCGGTAACGGGGCCGCGCCCCCGGAGCTCGGCCAAGCAGTTCCCGCTGCTGGGGCAGGACCCGGCTCCCGGCGCCGGCCTTCCCGGGGCTCGCTACTGACAGGCGCGGCCAGAGCCGCCCGCACCGCTGCGGCCTGGCTGACAGAACCGGCGCTGCACGGCGGGGGGGGGCCGCCCCGGCCGCCCCCCCCCCTCCG